GAAAGCGCCTTTTTGTTGGGCAGGCATCGACGAGAGCTCTCCAACTTAATGAATGACAGATACGTGTAAACAATGAATCGCCGCTTTGATCGTGATCGTTCAAAGGCGAAACTCGAGAATTTAATTTTATGGATCCGTGTCAGTTTCGCGGTTTCAACTATTCGCTAAGATGATGAAAATATTAACGAAATTTATTATGTAACTCGTTTGGGTCGAATAAGAAGAATGTATTTTATTTATTGAGTACAACCATAGATCAAGTTATCCGTCCCAGCGTAGGCGATTTACGGTAGTCATGAATAGTAAAATATGAATTTTGCAGTCCAATGTAAAATAGGTTAAAGATTCGAATAGGAATTTCGAGGACAATTAGGCATGAATTTTTTTTTTTATTGCTTAGTCAGGTGGACGGGCTCACAGTCCACCTGGTGTTAAGTGGTTACTGGAGCCCATAGACATCTACGACGTAAATGCGCCACCCACCTTGAGATATCAGTTCTAAGGTTTCAGTATAGTTACATTAAATACATTAAATATAATTATTTAAAAAATTAAGCTAGTACCGGTGCTATGCAAGCTGCTCTGCACGCGTTTTACGCAAGAGCATCCGGGTGAAGGAAGGCCGGCTATCCTCGACCCACGCTGGTTCTGACCCAGCGGGGTATTCCGTAGGATAGCTCACTCTAACCGGCGCCATCTAGGCGGGCTCCGGATAGCCTGCCGACCGAGAGGGCTGGTGGTCGTGGCGCCGACAACCGCCAGTCCGGCGTCCCGAGGGGGAGGGTGATGGGAGAGATGTGCTCCGCACTAAGCACTTCACTTTCCCCCCTTTGCCTTTTCATGAGTTCTGTCTCATGTGAGGTTTGGACGTTGGTTGTTGAGCGACAGGAGGTTTTAGTCGGTTCGACTCCGACATGCTCCGCCCGCCGTCCCCAGTTGAGGGCGGAAGTCCGGCGATTTCCACCAGACCAAAAAAAAAAAAGTACCGGTGCTAGAGGTTACATAGGCAACTTATATAGATAAATACCTATTATATAAAAACTATAAATACCGTATCGTATAAAAACCCGTATAAATAGACGAAACTGTAATAATGCCCTAGATCTTCTAGCTAGCTAAAGTTAGAACTAAAATTTTCAAAAGGTATCAGCTCCCCACACACATACGCTTTGCCAAAGAGACAGCTATGCCACTGTCTACCTATCACGACACTAACACAACAAAAAATAAATCGAAGAAGTGGGTTAGGTCCTTACTCGTTTTCTTATCAGATACGTCAGCGGAACAACACCAGTGAAAGTGACGTGTGCCTTTTATCGATACAATTACATCACTCCAAGAGATCTCAGATATATCGGTAACAGCCCAAATATTATTGTGTTACATGATCAATTGATACCACTGTTCATTTACATTGTAATATCAAAATTGTGATGTTTTACATAATACGTACAAATTAATTAAAAGCGTGAACTCTATGGTTCCCATGCCACCATCTACACCAACCACCCTTTGATACGTATTCGTTTGATACGTATTGATACGGGGAGCTCATTCCAAAACCGGATGGTACGTAGCAAAAAAGATTTCTGGAAACACACTTTGAATGAACGCAGTGGTTCTAAGTAGAATCGATAAATTATCACTTTAGAAAGATAGTTAGTTATTTGTTCAACATTCACAAATTTAATTTAATGTTAAACTGTGGGCGCGTCCCAACAACCGGTCCATAGCACGAGTGAAAACCCTATAAACGTGATTAAAGCTTATCTTTAATCGTCGATAAAACTCAATTATATCGTAACTCTCGGTTACTAACTACTGAATTTTTATAGCATATTAATTTAATAACTTAATATCGCGGTTGCGTTGTCGAGATACTACTCACTCAGATGATGATGAAAAAAAAGTTTGCTTCTGAGTGTTTGTGACGTACTCTGTACAATTTTCGCGCCACGTCAATTATACAGTTTATCAATTATAATGGACTGTTGAAAGGTTTTTTGGGGATGGAAGGATAACTAGTGCCCTTTTCAGCTTAGCCTCGACAGGTCTATTCCCGAATGCATCTACTACCATATCGGGATAGCGACCCGCTGAGAAGATCCGGCGAGGAACCCAGCAGGCTGATGCTATGGGCTAGATTTCAAGTTTTTTTTATTGCTTCGATGGGTGGACGAGCTTACTTCCCAACTTGTGTTAAGTGTTTACTGGAGCCCATAGACATCTACAATGTAAATGCCGCCACCCACCTTAAGATATGAGTCCTAAGGTCTCAGTATAGTTACAACGGCTGCCCCACCCTTCAAACCGAAACCCATTACTGCTTAACGACAGAGTGGTGGTACCTATCCGTGCGGACTCACGAGACATCCTACAGCCAGTAAAACATGCAAACAAGCTGTTTAAAATATTTGTAGGATGTAGGTAATATAGTAAACCGGCCTCCCTATTACTGCCACGACTCAGTCATGCGCTCTTGGGTGTAGAGCAGAATAACCATAGTTCGATGTAACAGCAACTTTGATCTTACGTTTGCGAAAAAAGCGATCGCATTCACTTTCATATGTCCATAAGCTTCGTTAGCCGCAACAAATAAAATCAGATTGATTTACATATTTTATTACTTTACATTCCGAACAAATAAACTTCTAGGGCGAGCATTGATAAATAAAGAATGTTGAACCGCAAACTTATTATGTAGGTACTATAGGCGTAGGGCGTAGTCATTATTAAGTGAAAAGAGAAATTATAAGATAGTAGACTGAATCGTTTGTTGCTAACAAGCTACACACAGTATTTCTTCAATCAGTCATCATGACTCTTGCAATAGCGCTGACATTTCCGACACAAGCTCTTGTCACGGTAGGAAGAAACCAATGAAGCATAAGTATTCTCAGGCCAAACCGTAAAAGATTAAAACCATTTTCCAAACGAATCATTCAAATAAAATGTAAACATTACATCTTAATATATTTTTTTTATATTTATTTACTGACAACCACGGCACGTTAACTGGTCCCGTGGTAAGTTCGTAAAGAACTTGTGTTACAGGTACCAGATAACGGAAATAAATGTAAGATTTTTATTATACACATACATATATTTAATATACATCCATAACCCTGGGAAAGACATTTTACATTATTCATACAAAATATCTTCCCTTGGCGGGATTCGAACCCGCGACCACCTTGTGTAGTGACCATGTCACTTACCACTACACCAGACGGCCGTAGTCATCTTGTTAAGTCAATATACGATTACACAGCCCAAATAATGAACATATTCATACTCGTTTGCAAAGCACGAGTAACTAGATGAATTATAATTAATCAAAGCATTCTAGAGAACAACGCGGCGATGGTTGTAATGTGTGACGACGCGGAAAATCTTTAATCAGATTAGCGCCTCCTACAGATAAAATCGATTACTTGTTATCGCGCGATAGGGTTGATAGTCAGTCCGATACCTCATCACAACATTTTATATTTTTCTAGATTGATTCTCATTTGATTTTCAAACATACTGGTAAAATTAATATCAAAATTACTCTTCATTTGTAATTTAGTTATTTAACTCTCAAACTATCAGACTAATTAATTGCATATAAACAATTTTCTCAATCGTGACTTTTATTTTAGTACATACGCTAAGCTACTACAAAGTTTTTATTAATAAACCGTTCAGAAATTATCTGCAAAACCTAATTTAAAATTCATTAGGACAAACAAAAAGCCGTAAGCACTTGCTATGCGTGAAAGTAGACCCACCCACAGCGCCAGTGGCCCGAGGCGTGACCGCAACTCATCTATCAAAACAACACTTCAATACAACCCAATGGATTTCCAATTCATAAGAATAACATCTTTATTTTAACTGAGGTTCTTTGAGTTAGAAACTACGAGAAATAAACAGTCTTGTACATATCGCGGAAGATTTCCTTTTAGTCACAAAACTCACAAATCTTTATATATATATTTCTTCTGTGCGTGTGTCACTGTACTCCTAAACGGCTGGACCGATTTTAATGAATTTTTCTGTGTACCTTCAGGTGGATTCGAGAATGGTTTAGATTTACAAATTAGTCCCACAGATGGCGCTGCAGTCGGTATCTAGGTTATTTATCTTTCCTAAAAATAATTTATATGGCAAAACATCGTTTGCCGGGCCAGCTAGTAAACATATAATTTACGCTTCCCAAAAGCAGGCTGCATCGACCAGATTGTTAGTATTGCAATACAATGTCATGCAATTATGAGTAAATGCCCCATTAAACGAATTTCCCCATTGCGAATGTCTCAGTTCGCCACAATCGGCGTTAGTTTAATGATGACAGACGACACCCATTGCGTCATCTCGGTACAAGTGGCATTGCAATGACGAAACTACATGAAACTATGGGAACATAGTGTTCTTTCTACAGAAGCTGAGACATTGTGAGAAATTTATGTTCCATTGACACTCAATGTGTGTAACACTTCTTCGATGTGAGGATCAATTAAAATTGCATCGCCTTCTTGGTTTCTTGGCTTCTTCATTTGAATTAAACATATTGATTGGCCTTCGGAAATTCAGCTATTGATAGACGAAAATGAACCCAATATTACGATAACGGTGTCTGATTTATGACGGAACAACTACTGAAATTATCTGTGGCTAGGATTTCTAATTATACATCTCTGAAATACGGCTTCTAAACTTATGTTTTCAGATCAATTTTATTAATCAAAGTATTGATACATTCAGCTTGAGAAATTTGGGTTTAGGAAATTAATACCATACTGTTAATTTCCCTAACAAACACTTTAAAGCTATTTGATCTTTACATCAAATTATTTGGATATATATAATAAAGGAAGCTCTTGGTGGTAGCCTGTACCGTACGGTCCATGCAACCCAAGATCGAACACAGTGGAGGAACGTCACATGTAGTCGCGATCCTCAGCAGTGAGGGAACGATATAGAAGAAGGAAACAAATAGCGTTTACAATACTTACGACCAGCTCCGCAAACTTGGCGTCCAGCTCATCTTCCGGGGGCATGGGATGCGTGGGGGTGACCGCTTGGAGGGCGAGACCTCCCTCGCCGCCCACCACGCAGTACGTGATCTCGGGCGGTTCGTCATTCTGGAACAATTAACATTGTCTTGATTTTTTTTTTGTAGTTCAGTTAAGTTGTGGCGGTAGCCATAACAGAACACAAGATATTTGACAGATGCCTGAATCTCGCTTACGACATTTTCAAGATAAGCTTGCATATATACAAGTTCCGAAGAAAAACATTCGGATACACGACATTTCAGATCCTCCCGATCCACTAACGGTGCTTTTAGGTACCTCAAGCACCGGTCATCGTTCTCGTCGAACCCGTCGCTTGGGCTCGACGAGTAAATTAACCCTCAGACACAGCCCACTGAGTTTCTCGCCGGATCTTCTCAGTGGGTGGCGTTTCCGATCCGGTGGTAGATTCTGCGAAGCACGGCTCTTTCTAGGGTTCGTGTTAGAAAGATCTTTCCCTCCGTCGTTTAAGCCTTCCACAAAATAATTATAGATCAACGAAGATACTCCTTAGCTGACTTGAACTGACCCCTACTATTATTTTCCCATTATTCGTATAGCAGTGGTATTCGTAAGCTCTTTCGCTAATCTCTTGTTCTGAGATCCCAAAGATTGCTACGACCGACCTGCGTATTTCTGTAGCGCAATCACGCGGTTCGGTTTGAATATTAGGTACTCCATTGCATAAACTTTGACTTCGTGTATCACGGTAAATGGTTGAATTCAGGCGCGAAATTTCTACGGATTAACCTAACCACTTAACACTGAAGTGAATCGTCAGCTTGTCTACCCATCCGTTCCAAATTAATAACTAAAAGATTGACCAACAACAATGCTGACGATGATGATGATAGCAGGATGAATTATAAACTCAATGCCAAATTATTCTCTAACTTCTTTCATATCTTTATCGACGACATATGGAAGTGAGATAATTAGAATGCCCAACAAACACATATTGTAAGCTCATACGAATATATAACAAAATATTAAACACACACAACGATATGTACCTACATAAGCCAATTTATTCATTTTACATAATTTCCGTCGACATTTCAATGTTAAGTATTCGAATAACACAAAATCTGAATATAAAATTGCATTATTTATACATTTATTCTCAAAGAATATAAATCATATTACGAATACACCGGTTAAGGGAAGAGAAGTTATTTAAATTTTAAATAAAAACGAGCCAAGGCGGCGAGTTATTTCCTTACTTGTAAAAGATGAAGGCGAACGTTCCTTGCATCAGGAAATTGAACGAAATAAAGCCATATCCGTCTTTAGATTTAAGACGGTAAGATATAATATTGGTTTAAATCGAGCGGTCATACGTCGTTTTCTGTTGTCGTATTGGATCACGTAATGTAAACAATGCACCGGAACACATACGCCGGCTTCTGCATTGTATATGTAACTTTAATTAAAGACATGGATCACCAGACTCAATGATTACTTCTTTTGAATTTCTCTTTTACTACACTCGCGGGGCTTAACGTTATCGCGACTTAAGTACTCGTCTAGGTAAATTGTGTTCTCGCACTGTGAGCTGACACCATCGTCTATTTCTGCCGCGAATCGGTCTAATTTTTTTTTATTGCTTAGATGGGTGTATGAGCTCACAGCCCACCTGGTGTTAAGTGGTTACTGGAGCTCATAGACATCTACAACGTAAATGCACCACCCACCTTGAGATATAAGTTCTAAGGTCTCAGTATAGTTGCAACGGCTACCCCGCCCTTCAAGCCGAAACGCATTACTGCTTCACGGCAGAAATAGGCGGTGATTGCAGAACCAATTGTTCCAATACAGTTGAAACACCGATTCTAATCTCAAGGTGACTGGTGGTGACACTTACTGTTTGATACTTAACAATTCAACACACCAGGCAAACCAGGATTACCACTATACATTTATTTACACTCTATGACAGAAAATGCGTGTTAATTGCCAATAATTAGATTGATGATCGAAAGTGTCCTTCAGCGACCGTAATGTAATCCTTAATCAAAGATTTATTTCACACGCCTCGTCTTTTTTATTTTTGTGTTAAATGTGCACAACATTAATTAAATTCACGAAAAATTTACTCTTTTTATTACTTAATTAAGCAATCCAACATACATAGTACTTGCATTAAGGTTGTAGACAATTACATCAAATAACATTCCATTTCGGTACAAAGTTAGCTCTTAAAATCTCGACTGCCATTCAAAAAACGTTCACACTCGCATCCACATTAATTTCCGCAAACTTTCGACTGTGGGAAAATATTTAAAATCAACACAATGAACGTGGACAAAAACTTAATCTCATTTCCGTCAAATAACGCGCATAACTTTCATTTAATTATTTCCGAAATATCGTGATGAAAGTCCTTTACGCAATTCCTTAACTCTAAATCATTACTGAAAAAGTTCTTTACCACAAACGTAATGTAGCATGTACTTGTTTCCAAAAACACAAAAATGAACTTTAATGCGTTGCAACAAAAGTTCCATCCATCCATAAAATAGCGTTTAATGTTGATAGTGATAACAGCGATTCATGTTTGACAATCTTTACGAGCGCTCAGTGCAAAATGATAAACATCATACATACATCACACTTACGATTGTACATAAATGTATGAGTCAATGTTGACCTTTCGCCGGCGCCTGTGGAATATATATATATATATATACATATTTCTTTGGCTGTGACTGTGGAACTCATTGAATGGAACTCGAGCAGGGCTGACACATGAATTACGGATGAAATGAAAAATGATGACACACAGTCCAAAAATTCGTGACCTTTTTAACAAGACAAGATCAGGGCTGAGACAGTTCAAAAGTTCTTTGTTTTCAAAGGTATGACGCACTGTATACAATACAGTTTTATTGGGGAAGCAACTTTTTTATTTTATTGAAGTGATTTTTTGATAATTGTATTGCTTAGTTGTTTGAAATATAACATTTATAGTAACGTATCTGTATACTAAACTCCTGAACTTAACTCAAGAACTGAATGAAATAATTGAAATAGTTTCAGTCATCTGACCGAATGAGGGTAGAATGAAGAATTCGGATAAAATACACATCCCAGACAACAACAACTTCAGCCAGATCCGTAACGCCAAATATCCGTCATTAGGAACCCAATAGGAAATCAAATTGGGGACCTGATCACAAGTCCAACGACGCGGTCACTAATAATATATTTAATCCTGGCCCTATCACGAAACTTTACTGCTTTACATATACTTTAGATAGTATATTCATGACTTATGAATTTTTTTAAAAATATTTACTCGAAGCTTAAGAAAATTTATCTCGAATTCACTTTAGGCTGTGACATTAGGCATTTTGTATCTATCTTGACTTCGAAAACACTTTCTCTACTCTCTATAACACCCAATATATTATGACTGTACCATCAACAATTATTTTCTTCTTCATAAATTTCCGATGGGTGTTTTATAAATGTTATTCTCATAATTACTAACACAATAAGCTAAGGAAGCTAAGCTAAGGATCGCAGCAGTTGGAGGGAAATCGTACGGGAGAAACTGATGCAGCGGGGGAGTCACGACCCTCAGTAATAAGGAAAACGACGCGAGGAGGAGGACTAACACAATAAATTGAATCTAAGCCTGTTTTAAAGATCAAACGACTTCACAATATTAAAGAAGATTCCAATTTTACGAAAAAAAAAGCACGTGGTCGTCACAATTAACTTTAACCAAAAATTATAAACCACTTTTTTACATTTAGTCGTGGAATAAGGCAATAACAAATATAATTTATCAAAATGATGTTGATGTTTGTGCAAACATAGTTACGAGGTCACGAACAGAGACGCAAACATTTACAGAGTCGATGAGAACAATAGACTTTATGTGTGCGTTGTAATTATGAATGAACTATTCCATTAAATGGATGAAAATGAGATTAAATACCTAAAGACATCTAGTGATGTTGATACATAATACCGTTATCACATTAAATTACGAACTGCTGAGATTGTTAGTAAACAATACCTTAAACCTCAAAATAAAAGACTAACAGTAATAATTTTACTAAGATGTTATAATAAAACAAATTTGTTTTAATCGGTATGTTGACTGAATGTTTTTGTTCTCAAAAGAGCTAAACACGAACAAATCCGATTGTCGAACAAAAATCAAATCTGCTCAGAAATAAGAAATTAAAATTAAGAAAAAAAAAATTTAAATGCGAGTCAAAGAATACACCATAGTGATTAATGACGTCAAGGTTTATGTGCGCTATGTAAATACGGAACGAAATAAAAAAGACAATAGTGTCCCTTTATAATCAGCTCTCATACAGAAGGAATAACAAGCTACCTCAACGAGTTAATCAAAATTTCATACCAATACTTCTCGTGTCATTAAATAAAAATATCGTGAACCCGGGGTATTTTTAAGCAGAGACAGTAGACTGACTAAACACTTTGCAGACGAGAACGTGATCTTCCGTTTTAATTGATTTGCGCTGGCAGTACTACAAAAAGCTTATGATTAATATAAAATTTCGATGGTGATTTAGATGTAATCGTGTATGGAATCAATTAGCATTACCAGTTGCCTTCTTTGTTGTGAAACTAAACCTACTAAAAATAGGCGAGGAAACTATTATTGGAACGAAGTTCCTTACGGCAGGAGATAGGGCTTGGAGGAGATAGGGAATTTGCTGCGCGACCGAAATGAAAAAAATGTGATAGTAAAAACCGTAAGAAAAAGTCCATGGAATAAGGCCTTGTTTTCCGCACAGCGATATTTCACCGCGCGATTTTATTCTCGTAATTCTTTTTTTTTTATTAATGTACTTCGTTCCTATCCGGTGTCCCACGACACCACACATCTTTTATACTTCAATGAATTCTTTATCAAGATATTGCTGCCAAAGATACAATAAAGAGTTTAAAAGTTTACTTTTCCTATAGAATTACACTCTACATTTACCTCAAGATTGAAACGCGACGTACACGTAATACAAACACCCACTTTGGAAAGTTACAGTAATTAATAGCCGGTAGATAAGCTTGGTGCGTAGAACAATTAACAAAACACATACACACACCGAAATCTTTTAGAAATACGAACATCAAACAGAATTTACTAATCAAATCAAAGAGCAAATCATAAGCAGAAAAAAGAAGACTTGAACAAACATCGAACGCACGAGGTCGTTTCTTTTAAAGCATGAAATTTCAATCATAATTAAAGAGCCTAATAAATAACCTTTCAACCCTCGCAAGGAACGAGACTACTGAAAGTATTTCAGTCGATGACTTCATCGCCCGTCCGGCCCAACGATATTATTTACGATCTCTAAGGAACCGTTTCCAGTTAGTAACTTTAACGAGGCGAAGTTAGTATGAAATATGAATCGTGAAATTATAACAGACTTTTTTTTTTAAATATCACAAAATTTATCAACTAATTTGAATGATTTATTTGTATTAACCAAGCCGCGTGTACTACCAAAATAGCATGTGTACAATTCATAAGTGGCAGAAGTAAAACCTTCTTTTTCATTCTCTCAGATGCTTAATACATTAGGCATATTCGTGCTGATGTATGTCTGTCTCCATTTAGAGTCGCTTTTTCGTTTCGTTGAATTCACAACGGCACCAAAAAAGTTTTCACTTCACAAATTATTTTTCTATAAATTTAACCATAACTTGATTGGGAATCTTCGTAAAACGTGTAAGCAGGATAAGCACGAAGTGTTAATAAGGTTGTACGTTGCAGCCCTTTTTTATTAACACTGTTACTTTATCGATTCTTTTTAAGCTTGATAAAACTCCAAAATTGATCCTTCCAAACACAAGACATGTACGATACAAAACCACTTACATTTTGTTTCGCAATAGAACATTTTCGTTTGATTGATAAACCGATCTTCTTTCTTTTGATCGATGAACTCATTTTTTAAAGAGAACACGGCACGCAATTTTTATTTCGACGTTTTTAAATCTGAAATTTCGACACAAACATTACACTTCGACAAATACACATCCTATTAACCGACGCAACTGATCCGAATTGAATCTTGACATCCAGACACCCTCCGACCTGACCGTAAAGCTTATCGACTTTTGACAGTATTTAATGTATTTGTCGTGCACTCCACAATAACTCACAATCAATACGAAGACATCTCCCGTCTCGTTAGTAATCACTTCCCGTCTACTCATCGACGTTCGTTCGTCTCGCTCTAATTGTAATAACGAGTTAATTGTTTTAAGTACGTGTTTTGACAGTGCTTCGATAATAATTATCAGTTGAGATGCTTTAAGAGGTGCTTCAGGCGTTCTTTAGGCCTTTATAGTGGATTTCTTCTTTAGAAAACCGAACAAATTGTGGAATTATGACAACGTAGTGTAGTGTTGCACAAAAATTATCTATATTTTAAAAAGTAATTTACTTTAAAATTTCATATACTTAATGTAATTATATAATATCCGAATTATCCTGCACTAACACCTTACCAAATACACCCACTGTGGCGATGTCTGTCATGGAAAAAAATATATTGGGCAGATACCAGAATCTAATATTTTCAAGAAAGGTTTGCATCGCAAATTCAGAACAAATAACCTACGAACCGTGTCGGTCTATCGAACTTTTTCACTCGCCTGATAGATCTTCACTTTTTCGTTTCCCCCAAACCGGTGACCCCGACCTGATATTCGATAGCATTTCCTCCAACTTTACTAAAGAATATTTTTTCTTGGGCTACGAACACTATACAATATACATCCCAGTATAAGCAGTGTAATATGATAATAAGATAGTATAGGGGTGCGGATATGTTCTTGGCATATTTATTGAATTTGAATTACCTAAGAAATTATTCCACATTAAAAAGTTTAAAACAATATCCCAAAACACAAAGACGCATTGAGGTGTCTATGTACCTCGCGAAATTTCTAAAACGCCTGCTTAAGAACGAAAAACACATTACACGTGTATATATAAAACAGGAGTTAACAATTTAATAACCAAAAGCAAGCGACTGGGAGGATTTTATTGTAAAGTTTATTCCGAAATTAAATCTCTCAACGACGAGCTACTAACACTGCTGGGTGACAGATATAAGCATTATAATATTATTTTAAATCCTATTCATAGATATGTAGCAATAATAGATCCTTGGAGTAAGCACAATCGTTATAATCTACATTCAGATCGATTTCAAGTTAAAATAAAAATTATAAATTAGGTACAATCTGACCTTTCTCGTGTAACATTTCGATTGCAGGCAACGGTTGCCACATGCCTATTGTAATATTTACCGTTATTAATGAACCGTATTCTATGGTGGTATTCAAAATGTTAGATATTTTATTTAACAAGTTTGCTTAGATTATTAATAAAATTTCAATCAACAAATTCACGAAAAGTCGTATACAATGTGCGCGACTGAAGTAAATGGCCAGTGAACATACGTGATTTAAGTCAAACATCCCACTAATACTTTTATAATGCGAAGCTTGTGAGGATAGATATAGCTATGTTACTCTTTCAGAAAAAAAACTGGACGGCTTTTAATGAACCTTCGCAATAGCTTATAAATCAGAATAGCAATAACTTATAATAAAATACAATTATGGTACGACCAATGGCTAACGAGTTCTTCCAAGAAATTAATTTAGAGATTTAATTTTCAACACAATTAATGATCGCGATATTGCAGTGTTACAGGATTTCACTAGTTTCCTAATAACGCTACAGAATAGTACATATTTGGCTCAATTTTCGTCACTCGTACACATAATTAAAATTATCACAGTTTAAACTCGCTTTTTTTATTGTCGTCACCACATAACCTGAGACGCATCCGAAACTGAAAGTAACAAAAGACTATTAAGGTAGTTTTAATAGCTCTACAGTATATGCGGACATCGCTAATAAAGTAAAAAAAATGTGAGCTGTCACAGGACGCCTGGCAGATGTGAAACATCGACATTATTTTGTAAAAGTAATATGCAGAAAAGAACAGATTGTGATAGGAACTAAATATGTCATAATGATAAAATAAAATATTACGAAAAAAGAATTTGTTTTCAAGTTTAGCAAAACACAGGTTATGTGTACTGTAGTAAACAACACTGTATACAGTACGGAGTATACACTATAGGTATCCGAGCTCAGTGTAGCGAGAGAGATGGCTTAACGCCGGATCGAGTGGGAGAGAATCGCACAGTCGATTGCGCATGGCGACGCGTCGCCAAGACATGCGTCGCCACGCCAGAAATCGGTTTTACGTGCGGCTATAGATGTTTCACATCAAAAACTCGAAATATCTTATGAGGCCTTTGTCAAATACATCCTTGTTCAGACAGCCGTTTCCCAAATCGAATACCTGCAATATTTATATATTCACGGGAACACTGTGAAAGTGTCACATGAACCTGATACGCAGCTCGTGATCCGATACAAGGGGCTAGTGTTACTTGCACGATACATTTGATATTATGTTCTGGAACAATTCATATGAACTAGTTCGTGGTTGTTCTTGATGTTTCTTTGAGATTAATAATTTTAAGTCCGCCTATTGTTAGTTCTGTGATCCGTCTTGTTTATCACAATTTATTTACAATTTTATTGATATCGAGGTGTTATTGAGTAAACCATTACAAAACTCGTTCTGAAAATGCTCAGTCAAGCATCTAACAGTTTCAAATCTATATTTATATTGGCATGATCAACTCATCTGACAAATTTGTGATGTATGTATGTGTGTCCACAATAGCAGAACCTTTGACGCTTAACTTGGTTTTCTTAACGTAGCTGAGTAATCTCATCTCCCGAATCAACAAATTTCGCTACTGGCCGATTTATTTATTAGGACATCAACACACGCCACCTCCACCTTGCGTCGATAAATAATCCTCAATGCTGAGGATCGTGGCCTCCTTTAATAACTTTCTTCCGGATTATCCTGTTCCACCACTGCTTTTCATCAGCTATGGGGATAGTAACGTGGACTAAAGGGTGAAGGGTATCTGGTCCGAGCAGCGCATTGGACTTCTGCCTCTGGGCCTTCTTCAACACTCGTCATAACATTATCCAAAAGAGACTGTTGAACTTAAAATTTCATCGAAGCTTCATATCGACGGTTCAGTCGTGTGCTGCCTAGATTTCGTTTTATTAATTATCGAGATTCACACTTATCATCCCATATTATTTTAGAAGTTTATATTTAATCTATACTAATATATAAATCTACAGTGGTTTTTACGGATGTTCCATTATAACTACTGAACCATGCATCAGATTGACTTGAAACTTGGTATCTCTGTAGAAAATACATGTACTTAATGAATAGGCCAATATTTGTATGAGTGTTGGACTCCTTAATGATAATGACAATAAATAATAATGTTAATTTTAAATGCCCAGCGAAGCGGGCGCCTAGTTACTTATATTATGAATAGGGTAGTTTGTGTTAAAAATTTCAAACATAGTAGTGTAGAATCCATTAGTTTTGTACATCAGAGAATCAAATTACCTGTAAACAAGGACAGAGCGGCCACCTCCGTCTTAGCGCATGCGGCATCTTCTTCCTTGGCGGGTCAGGCTCGATAGGTGGGTCGCCACATGCCCAACGCACCAGACGCGTCCGGGCCGCCTCCACCGCCTCCACACCGCGGGACCACGACGGCAGACCCTGGGAAAGAAAACAATACTATGAAAAAAATATGTAACGTTACGGACGTTTTTTCCCGGTTAGGGTGGGAAAAAAAAACCCTCGCCATCATCCCATAAGGAACTTCGTTCCAAAATTGTTCGACTTTTCTCTCTTTATCTTTGCAGTTTACACATTCACAATACATGTTTCTTGTAGTAATCTTTTGAATAAACTTGTTGGTCAACAATTGAAGTTATTGACACGACACAATACTGTTTATTGTTATACTGATTGTTTATTGATTCGAAAACAGAGAACCTGATGATCTAATTGATGAATGTCTCACTGTTGTTTGGATGTATTCTATAAAATTCTTGTACCTAACTAAAATTACTTTTTATGAAATAGCTTTAAAGATATCTAAACGAAATTCAATACGCAAATTGAACGCAATGCTTCAATCAATATAGTAGCCATGAAGCGCGCAAACAACTCATGTTGCGAGATATTATAGAGTTATGAAAACACCTGACATTTCCACGCTACATTCCTCGTAATAGTTCAATTGATAGTTCCGTAACATGAATATTTTTAATGTAAACAAAGAAACGGTTTAAAATAAAAATAACTGTAAAATTTGATTTTTATTGTAAAGCTGATTTCAGACTACGCTATTATATAGTGCCATGTAGTAAGCTGATTTCAGACTACGCTATTATATAGTGCCATGTAGTATAGCAGCGTATACTTAGCCAATAATATATAGTAACAGTACAGTGTGAACGTGTCCATAACAATGTATGGTGCGCGATATTGTTGTGCTACGAGCTATATATATACTATATGCTATTATATTATAGAGTAGCCTGAAAGCAGCTTAAACCAAAAGACAATCCAACGAACAAAAACCGATGGGAACACAAACTCATATCCCAGCTGGTGTTAAGTAGTTATCCTATACAAGTTATGTTTAGACCTAGAGAAATGAGGTCGATTTATCAATTACATTTTATGACGGCAATACTTCTCTTCAAGGTAGAACGCATAACGAAATGATTAGGATGATAGTACCTCCGCGTTCCAACTCACAGCACGCCATTGTGCATATTTTATATTATTCCTTCACTACAGGAGACGTTTGAGAAAGCGTTTTGAAGTGCGTTCATATCTTATACCTTTAAACGAGCAATTATTGCATACATATATATAATCTGAATCTCGGAAACGGCTCCAACGATTTTCATAAAATTTAGTATATAGGGGATTTCGGGGGCGATAATTCGATCTAGCTACGATTTATTTTCAGAAAATATTGTTTTATTCGTGTTTTGAATAATCAACTTTATCGATAATCAACTTTATGACTCTTCCCGACATCTATTGAATCTATCGGCGCATAATAATACTATTTTTCTTAATTGAGAGAAACTAACTGCTTTAAAGACACACCAAGATGGCGTTATAAACGAGCAAAGCTCGGTCATCATCTGGCTGCCGTTAAAATACTACTCGAATTAGATTCAAGGCATAGTCGCTTCACTCGATACCGGTTGGGTGTCTTACCTATTCGGTTATAGACGCCATACATACAATTTGTGTAATAAAAATAAGGTGGGGCGTGACAGCTACTCCTCTATAGACCTAATCTCTTAAAATCAGAGTTAAAACATGAACGACATTGTAGCGTCTTGAGGGTGAACCAACCGCTTAATACATAACGAATGAAAACAATAATACCTAATTATACACTTTACTTCATTCGTGTGTATCTCACGACCGATTACACTCATTTCTTTCGAATTAATTTCACTCTCGGAACAAAAACCCGAGATGGATGGGTTCCGTTACGTGTACGTTGCGTGTGTGGATGAGCAAACTTATGTAACGTATGCGGCGCGTCCTTGACGTAAATGACCGCGTTTTCGATATAATTCACATCTTTTACTATGGCCGGCAATTTCGCTTAGATAAAAAATTTAATTTTAAGCGGATAGATTTTCGTATTTCTTCTTTTATGTAAACTAAATTAGGTAACCTGATATTTTTTCGGATCAGAACAAGTGCCTGAGAATTCGACGTTAAAAATATATTATTATAGAATGAAAAGATTACATTAAATCGCTCATTTAAAAACTTGTCGTATTTTCCAGGATTAAGAACGAATTAAGAATATTTTTAAATTTTAAGTAACTTCTTCGATATTGATTTTTTTATATCTTTCAGTTTATCAAAAGGCAGTTTTAAAATGTAATGAAATTATTTAGGTCCAATTTATAGAGTTGTTATTTTTATATGTATAATACTGAGTAAAATTACAACCCGTTAGTATATTTAATGATGAGTTAATTATTAACAATTGGCGTAGATAGTAGAGTGTGCGATAGAGTATGTGAATAATGTGGGGGGGGGGGCGAACCATCCGACATAAGCCAGAGACGCAGCTGTGCTGCTTAAGGCTTACAAACTTCAAGAAAAATCGTCGATCGATCGTCGATCGTCGAAAATTTTCAAATTGAAAAAGGTTTGTTCTCGTTACCACAAAGGTAACGTTCACGCAAACAAAAAAAGAAATATAAGTAAGACATCAACACACCCATTTGTTCAAAACACACCCGTTTAAACGAAACAAAACCCAAACTATTGAGTAACACACGACTTACATTAGAATATTAACCTTTTAATGGCTTAATGCAATTAACAACACGTTCAACTTGACATCTGCGATAGTTTTGAGAGGTAATTGACTTGTACGCTTGTCGGACAAACGTGTTCATGTAAATTATGATTCGTGATTACACATACATTCGTTCAAATGACTTTCGTGATTTTGATACCAACAACCAACAGACGTGGTGCCAAATTAAAAGCATTTATATTAAATAACATGTTAATTAAAAAATTAAACCATGTGGTACTTGTTTTCAGTTTTTCCGATACGTTCAGATTCGTGAATCTGTTTGTTATTAAATGATAGGAATGTCACTCAGGTTGGCGCTTTTTCCTGTCACGAAGCAATTAATCTCAATGCCATCGAGACTTCGAACTCAAGTCGACAACGTCATTAGTATTAGTTAACCTTGAGCACGATTTACTGGTGGTAGGACCTCTTGTGAGTTTGCACGAGTAGGTAACACCACCCCGCCCATTTCTACTGTGAAGCAGTAATGCGTTTTGGTTTGAAGGGTGGGGCAGCAGTTGTAACTATACTGAGACCTTACAACTTATATCCCAAGGTGGGTGGCGCATTTACGTTGTAGACGTCTATGGCCTCCAGTAACCACTTAATATCAGGTGGACTGTGAGCTCGTCCACCCATCTAAGCAATACAAAAACGTTAATAGAATTTCGCCAAAAACCAAGCCTATTTTTGTACGTAACATTAAGCGCGTGTTAATTTAGCGCATCCATTGCCGCAAAATATGTGTTCTTCAATTAAGATGTCAAGATTGAAATGCGTTAGTGCGTCCCACGTGACAAGATCGCTCACGCACTCCAAGCAGATTAGAGGTTATTGTAACTGTATCGCTTAAATGTTGTTATTTTAACGGCACAAGCTCCCGTTTTAACTGACTTGCTGTATTTAATTATAGCTTTTAAATTGAAATTCAAATTCAAAATCATTTATTTCAACTTAGATGTCAGTATAACATACTTGTTGAATGTCAAAATACAAATAACAATGTTAACTCTACCACCAATTCCAAAAAAAGCCACAGTCCTGAGAAGAACCGGCGAAACCAACTCAGCGGGCTTTTTTTTTAGTTTTTTCTCAAATATTTACTTTTTTTTTTAAATAAGTAAAAATATGTACAATAAAGGAAAAAACAAGGCAAAAAATACAATAAAAAATAATAATAATAATAATAATAATAATGAAAAATGAAAAGGCTAGGAGCGAACGCCTCATTCCTACGTAGTGCCATCTAGTAAATAATCCTTAACTTTATAATATGCCTTGTCGCACAAACGTTCCTTGATAGTTTTCTTAAATCTATGAACAGGTAGTAATTGATTTAATTCTGATGATAAACAATATCTCAAATATTTACACTAAGAAACAGGGCAGACTAAATAAATTGCTTCCGTTTTCAGAATATGAAATATTTATAAAATTAATTAAAGTTTCAACGCAAGTTAAGGCCGTAAGTAGACCGACTTTAATATGTAGTTTAAAAGGAAATGCAGAGCGAAAACCGAAAAGACTTTTTTGTCGGTTGTACGTCTTTCCTTCAAGACCTACCACATGGTAAGTGGTGATCATTAAAGCAATGTCTTGAGAACTTGTTAATATTATCCTGTTATTGATCACTAGCGCCAAGCCAGTCTTCGTTTTTTTTTAGAGTAGATGTGGATTTCCGTGGTCAATACCTACCCGGTATTACGTGGTTACCGAAGGCCACAAGCAGCATGCAAATGCTGTCACCACCATCACCAACATTATGATATGAGATTTCTCAATTACATTATAGTAGAAAGACTGTTCCACCCTTCAAACTGGAGTGCATGACTGCGTTTTTACTAATACCTATATAAATACGCCCTAACACCAATAAGGATCGACTTCCATTACCGCACCATTGTCATGTAACACAGATTGCGATTTTTATGAATAAAACAGCCTCTTACAAATTGGGCAAAAAAAAAACTCACCACATCTCAAATACATTGCAAGCGAACGCGATATAATTGCGACAGTGCATGCACCATTGTCGCTGTGAACTTTACTTAGAGCATTCAACTCGACCGTTCACGAAGCATACAAACTTCTCAGATAAACTACGTTAATACGGAAAACCTATAAACCATAATTTGGAAACAAATTGTGATTACTCCGTTTTTATTTTTCCCTTCAAACTCTTCAAACCGAAACGCATTACTGCTTCACTGCTGAAATAGGCTGGGTGGTGGTACCTACCCGCGCGGACTCACAAGAGGTCCTACCACCAGTAATTACGCAAATTATAATTTTGCGGTTTTGATTTTTACTACAAGATGTTATTCCTTCACCGTGGAAGTCGATCGTGAACATGTCAGTTCGT